GCTGTTTAATACATACAAACATATTACATGAATAAGCAGAAGCAACAGAGAGGCATTTGCATAGAAAGATATACCGCTGGAGGTAGTGAAAATAAAGGAAAGGTAACACATTTAAGAGGGAAGGGCAATCCTTTAAAACAAAATACAGCATCTGTCCTGACCCCAAAAGAGGATATAGATGGGCAAAATGGTGAACTTCTATCTGTTATGAAATTGTATTAGAATTGGTTATGTGGGTTTGGGAATAAACACTTAATTTAACTTCCATCTACATTTCTATGCATTCATTATCCTATTATAGAAGTACAAAATCCCCTGTTACAGTGAGAAAAGGGTACTAAAAGTGACATCAAACTCCACAGGCTTCCAGTATCAGCTTATTCTCGGTTATACTAGTGTCTTTCTTCAATGAAGATGCCCTGGAGGTGCCCCGGTGTAACTGAGAAGAGAATTTGGCCCATTAACTGTATTTGGGATCCTTGTAATTTGACAATGAAGAATAAAGTTATTCGGGATTTATACCAATTTAATGGAGCAGAATTTGGTCCAATATACATAGTTAGCACCAAGGAACATTGGGTACATAGGCCTCTCTGCTATGACAAATACTGTTGGGTACTGCTTCTCCAATATCTAACTAAAATTTGTCATGTTGATCAATCCCATAACATTTTACATCCCAAAACATCTGACATTTACTTTTATTGGAAGTTTTGAAAAAAAGAAAAAAAAAAGATTTTTTTCATAAATGACATGACAATCACAGAAGCTATTTAAAATTAATGTTAAATAGTTTTTAAAAGCAACTAAATGCTTTTTTTTATTTTCTCTGGAGTGTGGTAACAACTTGATTTAAAAATAATTTTAAAAATTATACTTTAGCTCCTGAGATGAACATGAGAAGTTTCAGGCCAGAAGCAGTCTTTGCACAATATTTAAGGGATGCAAAAAAGCAACAAAAATCAGGCTTCATTAATCTGTAGATACTTATATAGGTCTCATTTAGCATTTAGACCCAGATCCTCAAAGATATTAAGGTGCCTAACTCAATGAGATTTAGGCATCAAAATAATCTTTGAGGATCTTGGCCATAGAGTCTCACGAAAAACAAGGGCACTTTGCTATTGACTTCAATGGGCACAGGAAAAGGCTTGTATTTGTCAAGGAAATGCCAGCATTCCAAAGGCTCCTTACAGTCAAGACAAAACCCAAACTGCAGTAGAAAGAGGAAAAGTAGGACATAAAGTTTTATTCTGAAATGATCTCTGGCCACAACAATAAACTGTAACAAATATGCACTAAAACAGTCTTACTCCTGTCATCAGCTGTACAATACATACAGTATCATAAAACTGGCCACTAGGATTAAAATCCACTACAACATATTTAATGTTAAGTGGCGACAGCAGCATCTCACAGAGAATTATACAAACATATATACACAATCCACATTCAATCATTTTTCACATGTTTTCAGTACACACAGTTGCAGCATATTACAGTCACGTGTCTAAGTCGTTGCTCAATACAAACTCAAGCTACTGCTTAGACATAATTGAAGCAGTTGAGCTGAGTAATTACAATTTGTAGCAGAGATGTACAAGCCCCTACAAACAATAATTCACAAATGCTTTTTTATTTAAATGCTACCGCAGCATCAAGTTGGGCAATATTAAAATCTTTACTGACAGGAAGAATTTTTTTTTAAAAAAAGTTCCCCTACTTACCAGAAAAATTCTTCATGGTGAAAAAAAAGTTACAAAAATGGAGAGCATCAAATAATGCACACACTTGCCTAAAGATTCAAATATAGCCCAATGCTACGTATGTCTAAAGTGTTCTAACATTCTTATGGAGTCCTTTATCACTCCAAACCACCCACCAAGTTAAAAGTGGCTTAAGTGCCTTGCACCCAAATTGTAAAAATCCCTGGCCACCTTTACTAGAGCCAGGCACATATAAAAGGAATGCACTTTGGTTCATACCAAATGCCCTGGGATTAAATCACACTATAAAATTAAACAGTTTGAGGTAAATTTTTACAAATACAGCTGATTTCTGTCTACTGTTACCATAACAAAAACATATTAAAAAAATCAGTCCGATGTTAAGATATAACTAACCATGAAGTGCCATCTTTAACCCCTTAAGCAACTTAGAAGTTACTACAAAAACAGAATATTTTATCCAACATAGTATGATTGCCTTATGTGTTCTATTAAGGCCTTGAAAATGTAAAGGATGTTATAAGATAGGCAAAGTATTTAAAAATAGATTTCATCCTTATTATCTAGTATTCAAAGGGTTAAAGAGGCAAAGATGCCTGCCCTACAACATGGCATTTATAACAAAAGGCACATTGTTAACATCAAGAGCACAATTTAAACTCTGTTGTTAATCTACACATCTTGCATCACACTGTTGTTCCAACACATTTAAGTGGTAATGAACACTCCGGTGGTGCAAGAAACTGAGCCAAATGAGACTGCAACCAAAGACAAGACACTATGCTATTACTAAATCTGAAAATAGCTCAGCCGTCTCTAGACAATGGTAACATGTGAGACTAAGCACTGTTTCCAAGCCACTTCTATCGGCCTAATTATCAGCCCTTATCAAACCACATCAATGCAAGAGGCAATATCATCTTCTTGTTTCCCCCTTTTATATTTATAAATAAGCTACAATAACAAGAACTATATCACTAAAATCCATAATATAGCTGCTCTTTCATATGTAGAGGAAGTTTACTGTATTTGGGTTCAAAAATAGCTCCGCACACTATATTTTGGCTTAAAAGTTTCCGGTAGCTTTATGAATAAAAATGATCACAAATGCTTTATGGGCATTTAAAAATCAGTTATATGAAAAAGAAAACAGGGTTTTAGCCCATTTCTGACCCATGAAATTATGTATATTTTCACCTTAAATTTTTTAAATTGAAGTCCTATGTTTTAACTCTTGCTGATTTCTTAATGAGCTGGCTGCGGGGAGAGATCCTAGGTGCTTAATTGGTTTATTTTACATGTAAATAAATGTTTTTCCAGACCTATAAATTACCTTTTGTACGTCACCAAATATTTAGGTTCCAGAAGTCACTGTTGCTTACTTGTATTACATTTCATATTTAACATGATTCCATACATGTTTATATATTGCACTTCAATATATTGTATAAAATTGTGTACATTTAACACTTTCTAAATAATTTAATTTAACCAGAGTCAGGAACTATCATTTTAAAAATACAGTAAGAAAATTAGTTTATCAATCCTCAATAAAGACCTTCCTTCTCCAGAATTAATTTTTAGGATTTTCTTCTGAGCTTTTGGCAAATGGTTGTATCATATGTTGTCCTGAGAATAGTGTTATTTCTTTTCCATCCCTGCCCCCAGAGTTATAAGTTAAATAAAACTTATGTTACTTTCTTTTTAAGTGAAAATGCTGAATGAGTATGAATGAGAACTTAACCGGAAACTTTCTTGGCCTCTCTGGGGACCATGCTTTAAGTCTTTTAAATAACTTTACAAGTAATTTAATTAATATAAACATAAGAACATTATTAAAGTTTTATGCAACCCACCCAAACCTTTCATGTACTGATATCTGCAAATCCTTCTTGATTATGTTTTATTTTAAAAAAAATTATTTTCATGTATTTCATACATAGTCATTGTCATGACCATGGTCATTGCTTGTGATATAATACTGATATTAACAAACTGGTATTAGTGAAAACTTACTACATGGGTGATCAATCTGATCCCTAACTCTATAGAGATCACTCCTTGAAAAAGACAATCTTCCTTCCGTGACTTAAAAAAAAAACCCACACGAATACAAATCTATGTAAAGCTCTACTGTTCCTTCAAAGTTCTCTTCAGCTACCATGCTAACCATTAATTCATACCACTTATCTTCTCCTTAATGTTTTTTCCCCTTTAGAGATGTAGTGCATCAGCTTACTTCACTGATTAAGTTAATGTCTTCCAAACATTCTATTGAGGAAACAATTAACACTTGCAGCTGCTTACAATTAATAATCTTTACGTAATAACTTGTCTAGTGTCTTGTTTGCTAAAAATGAATAGTTATCTAGAAGATGCAAAATGACATTGGCCCTTGAACAGTGATCTGATCTGAAGTTAAAATGTGCCAAAGAATTTGTCCATCAGACAGATTAGCTGAAAAAAAAAAAAGGTCTATGAAATCTGTGTTGCGTGAACAGTCTGGAAGGTACAGCACGAGCACAGTCAGCTCTGAATGTGTGATGCAGGGATGCCTAGCTGCACTTAAGCGCCAAGAGAAGAAAACAGGAGAGAAAAAAGGAAACCAAACATAAATATAGGTTATACACCTAAACTTCTGTGCAAAACATTTTGTTTTATATTACTTCATCTTTAGAAAGTAGCTCATCTGTCATGTTAAGTTTTAGAGAAACACATATTCCCACCTTCATTTTATCCTCCCGCTGTATGCTTATCTGTCTCTTGTACACATAGAATGAATCCCAATAGGGTAATTTTAGTTATGGACTTTTTTTTTTAATTTTTAGCTATATTTGAACATTTGTTTTAATCATTACTTTTTTTTCTTTTAAAAAGTCTATAGGACACAGATGTGTCATTGTTACAAAATATCATTTCTTCCAAGCTACCATATGGAAAATTACAACTTGTTATGGCTCCAGTTCTGCAAACAAACTCTTCCATGGATACTTGGCTGTACTCAAATGAGCAGACCCATGTAAGGCTAAGGCTACAATGTAGCCTTCTTCCAGAAAAGCTTATGCAAATGAAGCACGGCGTGGAATATTGCCATGCTTCATTTGCATATTTAATTAGCAGCCACTTTTGTGCAAGAGGCTTTTGCTTCCTGCAGGAAGAAAGGCTTTTGCGGAAGAGGGGGCTTTTGCGCAAAAAAGAGCCATCTACACAGCTCCTTTTTGCAGAAAAGCTTCTTGCGCAAAAGCAGCTGCTAATTATTCATGCAAATGAAGCGTGGTGATATTCCACGCCATGCTTCATTTGCATAAGCTTTTCTAGAAGAAGGCTAGTGTAGCTGTAGCCTAAGGGTTTTGCAGGATCAGGACCTACATCTGCAATGAATTCTGAGATGAAAGAGTATTGCAAATTTACCCCAAGGAAAAATGAATATGAGCTATGGGGAAAAAATGGTTAAAACCTTTGACACCAAGCTGTAATGCATGACAGTTGTGTTGTAACCAGTGGCCTGCCACTGATGTTTATTACTGTACCACACTGATTACAGTAAGGCTAATTGTACTTTAGAAAACAAACACTTTTAAAAAGAAGTATAAAAACTTAAAGCATTGTCCCCCTATTGTTATAAAAAAAATCAACATTTCTTACATTTAAAATGAGTGCTGAAAAGATACAAATGAATAAAGTTATTGAGCAAATAAAAAAAATCTGAGCTACTTTTTCCTATGAATAAGGCTCAGCAATGTACAATTTCTTGTATGACCAGCATTGGGTTATTCAAACTCAGCTAACGAGTTTTGGCAACACTGTTCTCTGCTGAATATTCCCATTGGCATCTGTCATCTGTGCCAAATTAGTCCTCAGTTTTGAAGCTGAGGTTGACGTTGGAGGTAACTTGGAAGTTGACATTATAGCACCAGTGCTTTCTGTTAATCGCTTTGCCGATGTCTTTTCTCCAGTTGGAGGCTTTGGCAAACGTCTCCTAAGCCAGGGATGCCGTAAAGCCTGGCTGGGTGTCATGCGTATAGCAGGATCCCATTCTAAACACTGTTTTAAGAAGTCAAGGAAAAGGGGATCATCACATCCCTTTAACGCGTTCCCCCACTCTCTGCTCTCTGGTGGGCCACGCAATTTTCCCCTGCGGGAGCGGCCACCATTAAGTATTACAGAACCGTCAGACAATGTGGTGATGGTACAATAACGGGGATAACCTTTAGAGCTCACAAAATTTTTGGCTCTTTTTGACGAATCTAGTAGTTTTTGGGCAGGCATGCCCAGTAGCTCTATCATACAGGCCAGTTGGTCCCCTTCATCTTCTCCAGGTAAGAGTGGGTAACCTGTTAAAAGCTCTGCTAGAATGCAGCCCAGGCTCCACATATCAATAGGCATCCCATAACGAGCACCAAGGATCACTTCTGGAGCACGGTAGAAACGTGACTGAATGTAAGTGTAGACTCGTTGATGCTCATAACAACTAGAGCCAAAATCAATTACTTTAATACCACTTCTACCCTGTTGCTTCAACAGAATGTTCTCAGGCTTAAGGTCACAGTGAATGATTCTATTTTTGTGCAACGCATCTAAGCACTGCAAAATCGAGTGGGCAAACTTCCGAACTAGTGGCAGGCTGAAGCCCTGAAATTTGTTTTTCTTTATTAGCTCATAAAGGTTCATGCTCAGCAACTCAAATGTCATGCAGATATGGTTGCGGAATGTAAAGTTTTCCAGCATGTGAATAACATTCATGTTGTTATCCTTATCCTGCTTCCTTAGATGCTCCAGAATTCTAATTTCTTCTGCCGCTTGGCGGTGGAACCGTTTTTCATTTCTTACCATTTTTAACGCCACATGTTGATGGGTCTTGTGATCATAAGCCTTGACAACTTGCCCAAAACTTCCTTTCCCTATAACCTTGAGGACTTCATACCTGTATGCAATATGATCATGGGGTACTTGCACATAAGACCCCTGGTCATCATCATAACCGCAATTATTTGGACCTCCAAGCACACCTTGCCGCTTCTTTGCATTTGGACCCAAAAAGAATATTTCAGGGTAACTGAAAATTTCATGGTGCTCAAAGGCTGATAGTTTTTGCATGTATTGCTTCATTGCTTGTTCTGGTGTCATAAAAGAGGCTTTCAGCTTCCCTGTTCCGTCCGTTAATTTTAAAGAACTGGAGCTCCCTTGTTGTCTATGAGCACTGTCTATCTGCCTGTCCTGCACCACTGACAATCCAGATTTGCTTACTGCTGCAAGCCCATTTGGTTGTGTTGTCAGAACTGTCCTCTTGTTGCTATTATCTTCAAACAGCTGTTGAACCTGAATCTGTCCGTGGCTACCAACATGCAGATGTTCATTCATTGTGTGCTTACTGCCTCCAACCTAAAATTAAAAACAATATTTTTCCAGTTAGAACATTTTGTTTTATGCTTTTTTAAATGTTTCAAAATTTCTTCTGATATTCCCCACCATGCCCAATTCACTTCAATTAACCATTTTTCTAAAGCTGCTTATAGCTACGTTAAAAACATGACCAATAGCCCCATGATATCTTAAGTTATTGGTTGGATTTTAAAGATCTTTTTGTCTCGTCTTCTTCTACACTTTCCACACTGTCATAATCATTTAAATAAGAGGTTTGCAACAAGGCAAACAAGGGCATGGTACTATGATGGACTAATAATTTCCCCAGGGGAATCTGCAAGGCAACAGCCCAATAATATCAAAAATATGCTTGAGGGAAATTAAACTTGACTCTACAGAATACAAAATAGCAGTTTCAGTTTTGCCAGAGATTCACATTGCCTGCAGGAACTTGTACTGATAAGGCACATTTAGTTCCACCTCCTCTACAAATTCTTACAAATCAGGATTTTAGCTCCTTCCAAAATTTGCTGTGGGACAAAAGCTGTCACATACTAGCGTAAGCCACAGAAAATGTGTTTTGACACTATAAAAGAAAAAAAATCTGGTTATTACAAAAGTGCAAGAGACTGAGTGTTACATGTATTGATTTGATAGCCGCAGTTCTGCAATGCATTTAAGTTAACAGGGCTTAAAAGCACATGCTTAAGCCCACCACTGAACTGAGTCCTATATTTGTATTACAACAGCACCTATCAGGAATGAGTGATGGACACTCTACAAACACTAAACAAACAAACAAATTCCTGCCTCAAAGAGCACACAAATCAAAACCTATTTTGCACTCCTGTAATGATCTGAATAATGGCAATTTGTAAGGAGAAACAAGAAATATATAAGCAAACCTTTGCTTCTAACACTGATTTCTTTGTAATTCCTCATTTGCTGTATGTGGAGGATAGTTAGCCTTGTAAAAAGGACCTTAAATAATCTGTAAATACATTAATTACAAGCTGTAAATTAAAATGATTAAAATTAAAAATAACTTTGTGTAACTTTACAACTCAAATTATCTTTAATATAACTCAACTGAAGTCAATGGAGGAATAAATTTGAGTCTTAGAAGGTAACAAAACTAATTAATTAAAGTTAAAGTAACAAAAATGTACTCAATGAAGTTAGACCCAGGATGAACATGGTTCCAAGAACTTGATTTTTGAACAGTCCCAATGACTTCAAGTGAAGTTGAAGATTCTTAGAATTTCTGAGAAACAGGCCTTAAGAATCTAAATGTTACTTCTTCATTTCTACCTGTAATGAACTTGGGTTATAATGACCTGGGGTCTGATTTTTTTACATTAATTTCTTGGGAAAACTTGCAAGGATAAAATAATGAAAGCTAAGGCTATGCAACTCTAATTTAAGATTCATTTACAAATATGGGTCTAAATCATTAACACAACTCTATTAATCTTTGAAGTTAATTTCATTACTTCAGTATCAAGATAAGGGCTGTGAATGACAGCTCACTGCTTAATTTTAAAAAATGATTCAAACCAGAATATAGACTGCCACTCTGATATTATTCCTGTGGGACATAAACAAAATAAAGGTGCCATCTTTGGTTAGTTTTTTGTTAACATGCTAGACAAAGATTACTGGACGAATGTCTTGATGATAAAAACTTGTCAAAAACAAACTGACAGTTTTTACCAATAACAGATTCTAATGCTGCGTCTTGTCTGGCATGATTTTCGGCAAATGCTTTTAACGGAAAAGTATTTCCGTTAAAAGCATTTGCAGAAAAGAGCATCTAGATTGGCACGGACACTTTTGTGCAAAAGCACTTTTTACAGAAAAGCGTCCGTGCTAATCTAGATGCGGTTTTGCGCAAGAAAGCCCCGATCGCCATTTGCGCAAAAGGGCTTTTTCCCGAACAGGAGCAGCATAGTATTTGCGCAAGAACACTGACAATCTTACATTAGATCGTCAGTGTTCTTCCGCAAATTCAAGCGGCCAGTCTAGACGCAGCCTAAAAGTTGAACAGAAAAGAAAGATGGTTTTGCAGTTAAAGCACTGGTTTGGGACTTTGGAGATCTCTCAACTATACCACACATTTTTTTTAAATCTGTCTCTCAATTCCCCATCTGCAAAATAGGAAGGAAACACTTCATTTTTTTCTACTCTTTGACTGCTTGTCTATTCAAAGTGTAATTCAGAGTGTAAACTGTCTTATACCATGTGTCTGTGTGGTACACCAATTGTCAAAATGGCACACCAAATGTGGTATGCCATTTTGTCAACTGGTGCACTATAATGCTTCCTTCTTTCTGCTTGGTCTTACACAAATGTGTGAAGAAAATATGGAGATATACCTAATCTAATAGAGCTGGAAGGCACTTTGAGAGGTCATTGAGTCCAGTCCCCTGCCCTTACAGCAGGACAAAGTACCATACCTGACAGATTTGCCACAGGTCCCTAAATGGTCCCCTCAAGGATTGAGCTCATAACCTTTGCTCTAGCAGGCCAGTGGCCAAACTACTGAGCTATCCCTCCCCTGTAGAAGTCTCCTATCATCTCACCACTTGACTTAATGGCATCAAAAATAATACCAAACCATTCACCAAAGATGCACTGATGTCAGACAGGAGGATCAGGCCAGTAGACTTTCATCTGAACCTTCTCCTGGTCTTGCAAGCAGAAGAACATTATTAAAAGTCCAGTAAAATGAAATTCAGAAAAGACTAGAGTACACTTGATTTCAGGCCAGTGGGAGAGGTCTAGGTTGGATATTAGGAAAAACTATTTCACTAGGAGGGTGGTGAAGCACTGGAATGGGTTACCTAGGGAGATGGTGGAATCTCCATCCCTAGAGGTTTTTAAGTCTCCGTTTGACAAAACTCTGGCTGGGTTGCTTTAGTTGGGATTGGTCCTGCCTTGGACAGGGGGCTGGACTTGATGATCTCCTGAGGTTTCTTCCAGCTCTATGATTCTAATCAAATCTCACTGATCTTAAATGAAGTCTGACAACACACTGGCATCATTCGGGAGTTTGTATCATTCAAGCATAATGGAGAGATGGAGATACTTAAACTAACTGCTTCTCTTGCTTGAAGTCTCAGAAACACTGAATTAAACCCCCAAGAAGTCTTAACTATCCTGTGACCCCTCAGGGCAACTCCTCCAGGTCAAGTGTGAAGAATACTGGTGTGGCACGGACTGCAAAGTTGCTGTGCTCCTGAGTGTGCTATACCAGTGTTTCTCAACCCTGGTGGTACCCTTAGGGGTACATGAGAAAAGTCGGGGGGGTGGGGGGGGTACATCAACACAAGTGAAATTTGGCAAAAAATGTCCGGGATTTTGCCCTGCAAAGGGTATCGGGGAGGGAGCGGTGGCACGCGCCCGTCAGATTGAATGTTTGGAGCTGCGCGCCCAGACATTAACAGCCGCTCTGTGCACACGGCCCAGCGCTGGTGGGATAAGTGCGTGGTTGCAGTGGTGGCAGCTCTGGTGAGACCCAGGGCAGTTCCAAGTTGGGGGACGGGCTTGGGAGGGGAGGAAAAATAAAATCACTTCCACGGCTGCGTCTCCTAGTTCATTTCCTTTCCGGCAGCCTCCTGAGGGTGCTCCAGTGGGGAGGGCGGCTGAACCTGGAGACATGCATTCCCCCCACCCCCGCCAGAAGCTCAGTACAACGCATCCCCATCGCCCTTCCCCAGGACGCTGCGGAGCGGAGCTAAAAGGCGGTGAAGTGCCACAATAAGCTGTGCTCCAAAGAACCCTCCCACATCAGTGGCATAGTGAGGGGGGGAGGGAGCAGTTGCCCCTGAGCACAACGTTAGGGAGGCGCTGGGCTAGTGTGGGAGCGCACAGCCCCATACAGCAAGCCCAGCACTGGTGCGCCTCTTGCTCTCTGCAGACAAGCCACTGAGGCAGGGTCAGATAAAGGAGCGGGCACTTCAAAGGTAGGGTTACCATACATCCAGTGCCTGGCTCTGGGGGAGGGGGAGGGCATTGAGTTAGAGCTGGGGGTACTTATAATTTTTTTAAAGGGGTACTTTATAAAAAAAGGTTGAGAAACACTGTGCTATACTACTGGTGGGTGAAGAGAGGACTTCAGTCCACAGAGCTGTCAGTAAGCATATTTCAGAAGCTTCAAATCACACAGAAGTGGTTTGGGGATTTTTTTGGTTTTGGGAGAGGACTAAGGGGAAGGCTTCAGTATATATAGAATTAAAACACTGGGTAAATAAGAATCATGTAAAAATGTGGTGTTTGTGTAATGTAACCCAAACACCAAGAAATTTGAGAAGTTAAGGTTTCTTCTGTAACATTAATTCAAGCACATTTTAAGATACACATTAATAACAAAAATTGGAACATACTTAATTCAAGAGTACAAAATACTGTTTATGAACAATGAGACTGAAATGGTGAAGAAAACGTCTCTTTCAGAATTTTTATCAGCACTCAGTGCCACAATCTAAACTTGAATTGACTTTAGTTTTTAAATTTGATTCTCCTGGTTTTAAGGACTAGTTGGCATCTGCATTTTACAGCACTGTAGGTTTCACTAGAGGATGTACCTTTCTTGAACTGAAGTTATTTGTCTTATACTGGGAGTTAAAAAACAAATCTATTTATCCACTCAGCAATTGCAAGTAGGAATTGTTTACTAATGTACATAGCTTCAGATGAGTTTTCCAAATCTTAAACAATATAATTCTGCCTTCTTGAGCCTTTACACAGTTTCAGTGTGTGTCCTGCTGCACATAGGTTTTCCAAGCAGAAGAATAAAACTGGCAAGACAGCTCAGCAGGCTCTACTGTAAGCTGAGCACTTGGGCAGCTGCCCAGCAGAGACTCCAATGCCCACCAGCTGATTAGCAGAGTGAACAAAGCTGGCAGCAGCCACCAGCATGTGTTTCTACAGGTGGTACACAGCCTCATATGCCTTGGTGCCCATAACAAAATTTATCCTGCACATGAGTGGAAAAAATTAGAGTGAATACTGCTGGGTTTTTTTATTGCATCTCACTAGATTCTAGATAGCACTAGACCAGTTGTTCAGTGTCACACAGCTGCTTTTTGAGACTGTAAGTACAGAAGCAGAGGTAAGTACTAGAAAGTTATTTACGCAGCCCACTCTCCTGCTCCTACAGCACCAAGTAGTTCTGGGGTGAATGAGAACTCTTTCTCCCAAGCAACAACCTGAAGGGAGTTCAGATTTATCAAGCCCCTGCTAACCAGATATGAAAGATAGTACCTCCCTCTCCCACACACAATCCAGGGATAGTATTTCATAGAAATCATAGCATTCTTCTTCCAACCAGTTTCGAGGGGCAGAGATTGAACTCTCAGCAGGGTTTTGCTCAATCTCTGCCTAGCAGGTCTGAACAGTAGGTGTTGGATTTTTTTTTTTCAAGATCAGGCTTGTAGAACTTCCAAACTTTCTCAGTGAGGCTTGTACGTTCCATGAACCACTCTTAATGGGCCTGTAGAGCTATAAATGTCTATGCACTTCCTAGTGCAGCAGTGAACAGCTTGTTGCATTCACAATCCTTTGATCTGACAGTGTAAGCCTGAGAGGTTTATAAACCCTTCCTGCTTCTGTAGAGGAGTTTGTAAACTCCTGTAACCAAGCAGCTACAGAGCGATACAGGATGAAGTTTAATAAGGACAAATGCAAAGTACTCCACTTAGGAAGGAACAATCAGTTTCACAAATACAGAATGGGAAGTGACTGTCTAGGAAGGAGCACTGCAGAAAAGGATCTAGGATCTAGTGGACCACAAACTGAATATGAGTCAACAGTGTGATGCTGTTGCAAAAAAAGCAAACATGATTCCGGGATGCATTAACAGGAGTGCTGTGAGCAAGACATAAGAAGTCATTCTTCCGCTCTTCTCTGTGCTGATTAGGCCTCAATTGGAGTATTGTGTCCAGTTCTGGGCACCATATTTCAAGAAAGACCTGGAGAAACTGGAGAAGA